TGAAGCATCTTGATAACATTTCACTATGAATTTAGGACTTCTTCATCATACTTTTTTTACACAAAAGAAGGAAGAAGAGGTGAAGAAAGAAAGATATCAACTTATAGAAAAAACAGAGGGCAAACATATCACGTGACTGTATGATGGTCTATATATGACAGTACAGGCAGTCCCCGGGTTACGAACAATATAGGGACTGTAGGTTTGTTCTTAAGTTGAATTTGTATGTAAGTTGGAACATGTAAATTGCAACTCCAGCCCCCAAATTTTCTTTTCGTTTTGGATATCATAGGGAAGGGTTTACCCACTGTAAAGTTTGTTTTGCTGTGTGTGTGTGCCTGTTCAGAAGATTTCACCTCACTTTCTGTCCCTGTGACAATTGGATTTTGAAAAGTTTGGGTTGTCGTGGAAACAAGGATTGATTGAGTGATAAAGCTTCAGTGGAGACACCTTTTTCCCATGATCACTCTTACAGGAGCGAATTTCCTTTCCTAGGGGTAAATTTCCTTTCACTTCCTGTTGCCTCAAGGACAGGAAGTGAGATTAAATCTTTCTAATGAGGATACAGACAGCAGTAAAAACCTCACAGTGACCCGGAAGAAGAGGTGGACACCCCTCGTCTGCACTTCTAACAAGAGCCAACTTCCTGTAATGTACGTACAGCACTACAAACTAGACCCAAAAAGGTGGGCACTCCAGATGGCACGAGCGCGGTAGCATTACAACTACCCCTGCTGTACAGTAATAGCCTACGTTTGTAAGTAGGAGTAGTATGCAAGTCGGATGTATGTAACTCGGGGACTGTCTGTATATAAGGACCTAGAAACTGAGCACATATTAGACCATGATATAGTTTACTTGTTTTGTTGTGTTGTGGTCATCAAAAGCAACAGATAAAAAAATATCAGGAGCTAGGTGCAATAAACTGTGATAGTTACATAGTTAGTCAGGTTGTCCATCGAGTTCAACCTATAGAGATATGAAAAGAAAAAAAAGAAGAAAAGCCTAAACAGAACGCTATGCCCCCAATGACCCACTGTTGATCCAAAGGAAGGCAA